TCATTTCTTTGTATTAGTCTTTGGTTTTCAAACTTTGATTGTCAAAGCTACTTCAAGTCTTGATTAGGGAGCTTTGAAGAGACCAATTAATACAGTCAGAGCCCCTCTGATTCAGAACATCTTGAGAAATTAATGCAAGAAAAAAATAGTTGGAGATAAAATCCTCAGAGAGATGAAGCCAAAGCCAAAAAGTCACTTACCAGGGTTCACAATCAGACTTTTAACACTTGTCCTCAGACCTTCTGGGGAGGCAGGAGGGCCCCAGTGCACTGGAGGCTGGGGTGGGGGTATGGAATGCACTTCCTTAGATGGCAAGCTAGTCCCAGGAAAGAGATGAAAAAAGGGGCAAGTGTGCTTAGTTCCTTCCCTGGTGGCCCAGTAAGACTGTAACATCAATAATGATTACACCACTTTGTTTTCTGTCGCCCTATTTGAGATTAGCTTTACTCTGCAAAACTGCCCCTTGTAAAGTTATTCTTTGTTTTCCCCTTTGCTCAATATTGTAACTTTTAAAAGCCCCTTTAAATGGCTGAGATATTACCTATTAGAGGCAACTATTCCAGGAAAAGGGGAAAAAGAGGGAAAAAACTGGTCCCCTGACTTCCTAATGTAAACTTTTTCTTTTTTTTTTAAAATAATTTTGTTTTAGTTATAGTTGGATACGATACCTTTATTTTATTTTTATGTGGTGCTGAGGATGGAACCCAGCACGTGCTAGGTGTGCGCTCTAACCACTGAGCCACAACTTCAGTCCCCTTTTTTTAGTTTTATAGAAACTAGAACACCTGGTAGTCTTCAAATAACATCAACATGTAACCAAGGAATTGCTAATCCTGTTCTCTAATTAAAAGAAGGATAATGTTTAACTTGCATGAAAATAATGTCTTATCTAAAGGATTATAGGACTGGCCCAGGAGCTAATGTCCTTTGTAAGCATAGGACCCTTCCACTAAAAGAAAGAAAAGCATGCCCTGAAGATGTGTAAATCAGTGCACAGCCTTCCTGTCCATCACCTCACTCTCCCTTTCAACCTCCTCACAAAACCCTCTTCACTTACCTAAATTTTCTGAAATGGCCATGAGGATGACAGTCTGGCTATTTTCCTGTTAACTAGTTTATTGTAATAAAACCTGATTTCCTTCCCACTCTCATCTCTCGAATATTGGCTGTTTTGTGGCAGGCAGAACCAAACCTTGTTTGGTGACAAGATGAATCACTCCTTCCTGGAGAAGTGATCAAGGAAAGAACAGAAGCTAAATGTTCTTGTCAACAATCTTGTGAATTAGAAGTATCCATTTTATGGATCTGAGAAAGTGAGATGGCTTCCTTCAATAGGGATGCTCTTGGCAGTGTGTAATGTTTTGCTCTCAGCAGTGAACAAAAACTACAGATGCAATTAATTCTGTCAAATGATGTAGGAACTGTAGCTTTTAAATACTTGATTCTCATTTGTGCAGTGTTGGGCTTCAGTAGTACTATCACCTTTTGGGGATGTTACTTTTGTTTTAAATTTAATTCATTTCTGATTTCTTGATCACTTCCTACAATACTCTGGATCAGGACCTTTTTAGATGCTATGTTCCCATCCTTCTGGGAAGGTCCCAGCTTACCCTTTCTGGAATGTATCTCTTTTCCTTGTCCTCAATCTAGTAGACTATTGGGAAAAGTTTTTACAAAGATTTTCTGGGAACTAGATTTTTAAAATGAGTGCATGTGGGAAAATACTCTCCAAGCATGGAGGGGGCTCTGTTTTTGCCTCTACTTATTTTTTATGCTCCTTGGGGAAAAGAAAATATTACAGGGCAAATCTCTTTACAAGTAGCTCAACAAGATGGTCTAAATACATAGTAATGAACAGAATTTTGTTTCATGGATTGTGACTTGAACTACATTAGACATAAGCTGGGCTGTGAACAATTTTGGCTCAATAGATGTTGTACAGGAATTTACCCAGTAAATTCAGATTTCTTCCAGCTAATGTTTTTACCAGGCTGATTCAAGCTGGGGAGCAGGAGTGGGAAAATACTGAGGACAGAGTCTGTGTTGGCTTGAGGTCAAGGCAGGGGAAAGAAAACACAGGCAGAGGTCTGTGTGAAATGTGAATCTGAGTCATGGAAGGAGAGAAGAAAATAGCATGTGTCATCCTGAAAAAGCTCTTCTTAGGCTGTTTCTTTTGGCTATAACTGCTGCCTCTCCCCTGGAGAGCTTCACTTGGCTCTCCATGATGCATTTTCAGACTTAAAAGTAAGCCACCTTCAAGAAATTCCCTCCTTCTTTCAAGAAGAAAAATACAAGGAAATGGAGAGTTCTGGTTTCTAAAGAACCTGGATTAGAATTTAAATGAACTCAGATAGTGCTCCAGCTGGGAATGGAACTGGGAATGTCTTCAGTCATGACCCAGTCTTGCTCCTCTGGCACCCCCTTCGGCACAGGAGGGGGACTGTATTCTTTAAAGTTGCCAAATCCCCACCACTGCAGTTTACCTAGAACACCACCGGTAGTGATAAAGTAGGCCTTGCCTCTCCACTTGGAAAGTTTCCTGACCACCTGCTCACTATTCCTAAGGCTTTTCTCTGGGCACCATTTAGAGACCTTCCTCAATGTATTACTATTATAATTTTTTTTCTAAATGAATTCTATTACTGCATTAATTTCTGGTCAATAAGTCCCAGAAAGATCCTATAGCAAATTGTAAATCAATATGAATCAGCATTTCAAAATTCACAAAGCCTTTTTTTAATGGTTTTATTGAAGTACATTGTACATATCATAAAACTTCACTATTGTAAGTGTATGGCCAATGGTTTTTCAATTAATTTATAGTGTTGTGCAATCGTTGTCACAGTGCAGTGTTAGAACATTGCCACACTCCAGAAAGCTCCCTATCAGCAGTCAGTTCTCACTTTCACTTTCAGTCTTAGGCAACTATCAATATGCTTTCTGCCTACTGATGGGCCTTTGCTGGTCATTTCATATAAATGGACTAACACAACATTTAGTCTGTTGTGACTGGCTTCTTTCACATAGTATAATGTTTTCAAGGTAGACACATTTGTAGCATGTTATCAGTGCTTTACTTCTTTTGATGGTTGAATAACCAGTCCATTGTATGGATATACCATATTTTCTCTATTCATTCACCAGTTTTTGGATATTTGGGTTGTTTTCAGCTTTTGTCTATTGTGAATAATGCTACTGTGAATATTTACTCCAGTACTGCACTGTCTTGATGACTGTGGTTTATAGTAACTTTTGGTGAGTTGCTGCATCTTTGGAAAGTGGCACCACCATGATTTCTTTTGCTGATTTTTGATGTAGCAGGCATTCATCCAGTAAGGTGCAAGGCTTTTTAGATCTTTCAGCTATTTCATGCCCTTCTTCAGCCAATGCAATGAACACAATAATTTAACCTGCAGTAAGATGCATTAGTGAGGTTTTCATTCTTTCAGAAGTGTTTACAACAAAGCATTGGTTTTTATAAAGTTTGTCATGTCTATGTTTAAAATACTAAATTCTCCCCGTTCTTTAAACTCTGATAATGCCTCCACTAAACTGGCTCCATAACAGGATTTGGAAATATTCTATTAAATAAGATACAATAAGGTAGGGGCTGGGGATGTGGATCAAGTGGTAGCGTGCTCGCCTGGCATGCGTGCAGCCCGGGTTCGATCCTCAGCACCACATACAAACAAAGATGTTGTGTTTGCTGAAAACTAAAAAAAAAAAAATATTAAAAAAAGAAACAATAAGGTAAATGATAAACATCTCCAAAGCCAAGGGAAAGAAACCTTTGTGATACTTTCCTTTCTTACAGTTTTGCACAGATTTCTCTTGAGTTGGATAATTCTCTGATATTGATGTTAGCATCATTTACAAAATTCATTTTTAAATGTGAAAAAGTTAGAAAGCAAGTCTTCTAATTTCCTTTTTTTTTAGCCAATAAAAAATCCTAAATTTAAAAATTATAAACAAAATTTATTTTGGGATAAAATATTAAATTCTAAAAGAAATTGAGTTTCAGATAAAGTTGAAATATTTAGAAAAATTTCCAAGAAATTTAAAAAACAAAACAAAACAAAACAACAAAACAAAAAATGACTCTTGCAAAACAAGTCAACAAGCAGACCTTTTTTTTCTCGAATTCCTGCTCAGGTACAAGAACAATTTCAGGATTTCAGAAAAACCCACATATTGGACTATAAGGAGGTTTCAGAGATGAGAGCTGGTTCAAAAGAAAGCCTGAAAAAATACACTAAGATACTGAGGACAGTTAACCTCTGCAAACGCTCATATTTATACCTTTAACCAAGTACCTTGGAAGCACACACATTTCAGCAGCTAACAAAGCGATCATGTGTCATCTAGCCTCTTGAGAGTTCCAGAAAACTAGAATGAAAACTGCAAATAACATTTAAGTACTATTATAAATATCATTTTTACTTGAGGGATTTCCTGAAAGGGTCTCAGGGCCCCTCAGAATTCACCAGACCATATTTTGAGAATCATTGTCTTAGATTCTGCTCTAGTGAGGAGCTGGGGTAGTAGCTGTGACTAGAATATTCTCTGTAAAGAGAGGTAAATATTATGTAGGGGCAACTGTGATCAGTTCTAAAACGGAAAAGAAAGCAGAGTTGTGAGAGGTGGCACAGGGAGACCTCTCCTGGCCTGCCAAGTAAGCAGGCGGCTCAGAAAAGTGACCTTTAGACTGCGGCGGGCAGAGTAGGAGTCTGCAGAGTCACACCGCCCACGTCCCCGCGTCAGCCTCCAGACGACCCAGGATACAGGATAGGGAAGGGCGGGGAACCACCCTGGCAGTCCCCAGGGCGGCCGCGCGGTCATTCAACACCTTGGATGTGTCCCGCCGCGCACAACGCCAGGACCCACGTGGAGCCGCTTCTCGGGGGTGCCGCAGTGGGAGGGGCCGTGTGTCTGCAGTCTGCAGACCCTGAGGGGTGGCCGACCTCGGGCGTCCCTAAAGAGGCTGGCGGAGATAGCTAAGGAGAAAGGGGCTAAGCAGACTTACAGGCCACGAGAGGCTTCCTCAGGAGGACTCACAATTGCGTGGGCTCTGACGCTGTCATCAAAACCGCGAGCTTCAGACACCTGTCAGCTTCCACGGGGAGACTCTGTTCCCGTGGACTCTTGCGCCCTCCGGCGGCCTTTCCCGAGAACGACACTTTGTTTGAACACGCGGGACGCGAATAAAGATTTCTTCTTCAAAATACAGGAAGTGCCTACGGAGGCCGAGCCGCTGGGGGAGGCAGGGCATGAAGCCGGGCGGTGACCCGAGCGCGGTTGGCGGCGGAGATGAGCGACATCGTGGAGAAGACGCTGACGGCGCTGCCGGGACTGTTTCTGCAGAACCAGCCGGCTGGCGGGCCCGCGGCCCCCAAGGCGTCCTTCTCCTCGAGGCTGGGCGGCCTAGTCCGCGGCATTACCGCTCTCACTTCCAAGCACGTAGGTGCCCAGCGGGCCGGGAGGCCGGGGCGCGGGGAGGCCCGCGGCGAGGGTCAGCGCCCGCGCTCCCGCGGGGTTCAGGGGACTGCCTGTGTGGACCCGTCCTGCAGTCTGTCTGGAAGGTTCACTCTCTTACCCGGATTGACAGCAGAGAGGCCGGGTTTCTACTGCTGGCCCTGAATCTGACTCATTCCGATCTGGGGGCAAATTTGTTTAACCTCCGACCCTTTGGATGTTTTCTCAGTGTTTAAGTGGAAGAGTACCAATACAAATGTTATAAGTGGTTGTGAGGACTAGATGAAATGTCAAAATGTGAAAATACCCCGTGCGTTAGAAGTGTCGGGCACTGTTCACTTACAAAGTTTGGTTCCCTGCTCAGTTTGCTCTGCTCCCCAGTCCCTTCTCCTGGTAGACATCATGGACCTTAACCTGCCACTCTGTGCCATCTGAGCCTGCTGTTGATAGCTCTGGGGATGGGTGAGCTTGAGGTTCTTAGGCTAAATCAGTGGGTTGGACCAAAGAATACCAACAATAATGCCACCCCCTTATTCTTCCAAACTAAAATATTTGCTGAGTAAGTCTGTGCTTCAGATGAGCTTTGAGAATGAGCAGTTATAATAAGTTGTTAAAATTCCTTTGGGGCTGGGGGTATAGCACAGTTGGTAGAATGCTTGCCTTACATGCTCAAAGCTGTGGGTTCAATCTCCAGCACCAAAATAAATAAAGTAAAATAAAATAAAATTCCCATAGACTTTTGGTAGTTACATGGATTCTGTAAGATTCTGATTCAAAACCTCAAAGGAATTGATATCTTAAAAACACGAGTTTTGTCATAATTTGTTCAACAGATACTTATAAAGCAAGGTTATGTGTTAGACACTGAGGACAAAAGTAAAATACATTCCCTCTCCCAAGGACTTGGTCATTCATTTTGGGTTTAGGAAGAGATGACTACAATGCAAGATAAGTGCAAGGAAAGAAGAAGAAGAAGAAGAAGAAAAAAGCAAAGTGCTCTGAAAGTTTAAAAGGTAGTCTGAAACTGTAGATAGCTGTGTGGCAGTACTTCACTGGTAGTTCTGGGTTAACTGTCTAATGAACACCTGCTAATTTCATGTGTAATTTAAAGATAACTTTATATTAGCTTAAAATGGGGCCAGTTTTTAACTGCTTAAGGAGATATACAATGCAAACATTGAAAGTGACCACACTGGTGTTTTTGATATAAAAAGTGAGAGAAACAATGTGGGGAACCCACCTTCTTACCCTATGCAAAAAGTCTTCTTTAAGGGGAAGATGTGAGACTCTTATGCTGGCCAGAACATGGAAAATTTTTTTCTGCTTTCTCTCCACTTTTAGTTTTTTTTTTTTTTTTTTTTTAGCATTTTCAGCCAAATAGGTTTTTAAAGGGACAGTAATTGAGTGAAAAGATGAGAAATGGTAGGTTAGCCTGGAAACATTTATTCTCTGGAGGGATGATTTTTGAGGGTTGTAGAAATGAGTATCTTTAGGTAGATCTTAAGCACATAATATTTATAACTCACTTTTAAGATCATGTTTCCTTTTAATTATTATGTTTTATTTTTCCCTTGATAATATATTTACAGCTTGAAAAGACAGTTATTTAAGCATTTAATTATTTTCACTGTTTTAGGAAGAAGAGAAATTAATCCAGCAGGAACTGAATAATCTGAAAGCAACTGTTTCTGCTCCTACTACCACACTCGTAAGTTTTTATAGTCAGTGTCAAACATTTGGATTTAAAATCTGATCCACTATGAATGGATTCAATCTTGATATCTGACTGATATTTCTAAAATTTAATTTAATTATATCAAAATCAGTTATATATTGTAGCAAGTCAGACTAACTTAGGTTTTTTCATTGACTGGCTGCATTGGAAGCAGACTTGCCTGCCTTTGTCAAGTCGGGACAAATGTAATGGTAATTGCGGAAGAACAACAATCTTCATAGGACTCCAGTACTTATCATATTGTGTACTTGGAAAAGGCTAAGGTATTATCATTTAAAAATATCTTTGGACCTAAATTGACATATTACAAATTTTTCTTGGTTTCTTTTTTTGGTGGTACTGGGAATTTGAACCCAGGGCTTCATTCATGCTGAAGCTCATGCTCTACATTGAGCTGTATCTTCTGCTCTTACATTGTAGATCTTTAATTTTGATACTATACCTTTTGGAGTATAGGTTGGCTGACCAAGTAGAATAATTATTTTCTTGCTATGAAACCTAGTATATGGCATATTAGTTAAATCAACTTCTAGTTGTTTTTAAACTTGGTTCTATATAATTTGATTTTTCAAACAGCATTCCTTTAGCAACTGTATTAGGAGGCTTCTGAATATGCAGGCCACTGTGAGGCTATTTCCACATAGTTAGATTAAAATATAGGCTTTTGTTGTTATCATTATTATTACTATTTTTAATTGACATATGATTTTATAACTTTATGGGATATGGTATGATAATTCAGTGTTTGTATGTTATGTGTAATGCCAGGTTTTAAAAAATTTATTTATTTTTGTGGTGCCTCTCAAATGCTAGATAAGTCCTTTGCCACTGAGCTGAATATCCAACCAGCTCTTGTTTCTTTTTAATGAGATTTTTTTCCCAAACAACATTTATTCAGCAAATATTTAATAAGTGCCTTTTATGTTTAAGTCACTGTGGGGATGGATGTTTTCTCTCCCCTCAATAAAAATATCAAGATAATCATTTTACATGAGCACATTAGATTTTCATTTTCTATAATTGGTATTACTGTATACAGTTTTTGTTGCTAAAAGATATAAACCTAGTGTTGGGTAGAACTTAAGATTAATAGGTAGAAGTTCAGGAGTCAGAATTTGGAAGGATGATGGTATAATGATGGCCATCCTGCTCTGGACATACCTCAGAGTAGTCTGTTTCTAAGGTGATCATGTAGAGGTAGGAAGACTGTTAGAGAAATTGTAAAGAGAATTCCTGCATTGGCAAATGTACTTTCTTCTCTAAATACAAGAAAATAGTAATGTAGGCAGTAATTTTGCTTAAATAAAGATCATTGTGACTTTAGGAAAACCGAGGTAAACCATTTGTGCCAAAGCTCACCTATAATCCCAGAGACTCTGGAAGCTGAGGCAGGAAAATTGCAAGTTTGAGGCCTTCTCAAAATAAAAAAAATAAATAAAAGGACTGGGGATGGGGATGTAGCTCAGTGATAAAGATCCTCTGGGTTCAGTCTCCAGTAACTAACTAACAAACAAACTGAGGTAATGTTACAAATTCAGAGTTAAAATTTAATGGCTTATGTTAATGCTTTCACTCCTAATTGATATAGAAGTCTTTGAAGAAGGACTTCTAGTATCATTTAAGTTTCTCTTCGTATTTAGTAGTCTTAATTAATATGTTAATTATCTTTTTCTGCTTTAAGTACAAGTGACCTATATTAAATCTCATTTCCCTAAGATTTTTTTTATGGTTTCTCATTGAGCTCTTTATATACAAATGCAACCTACATATGGAATATTAAACATTACCATCCTTGCTTTAAAATATTTTACTGTTTCCTAAGCATTTTGTAACTTAGTAATCCTATAATATGCTAACTCTATTAATTTTTAGACATTAAAACAAATGGAAACATTTTGTATTTTATTTCTGATTAATTTTTGCTATATATATTTATTTTATTTTTATTAGCTCTAATCATTTGCTGTAAATACTAGAAAGTAAATATTGTCATACTAATAAAACAAATGTGTAAATCTCTTAAAAATTTTGTTTATATTGTAAATATTGAAAGACCCCATTAAAAATTAAATATTGGAATGAGTATTAAATGCTTCTCAGTTCATAATAATTGTATATTTAAAAATACTTATAAAGTAGACTATTATAAATTATTTGTAGCATAATAATTCTGAAAAATGTTGGGGTGCAATTTGATTTTTTTTTAATATCTTTATTTTATTGATTTATTTTTATGTGGAGTTGAGGATTGAACCCAGTGCCTCAGGCACGCAAGACAAGTGCTCTACCACTGAGCTACAAACCCAGCCCTGCAATTTGATTTTTAAATATGAAAAATGTTTTCATTAGAAATTATTAACAATTTGTAATTTTTGAATGTTTTAACAAAGTATATTAAAATTGACATGCTGCATTTTAGATCCCAAGTAAGATTATGGATGAAATTTTATCAAGGGACCACATGTATCACATTATAACTAAAGTTTACACTATTAGCACATAGAAATAGTGATAGTTGGCTTATTTTGTAGAATCACTACCAACAAAATATTTGAAATGATTTTGCTAAAATTGATACTATTGGTAATTAAGATGGGGTTCAACTTTGATATTAGGTGATCAATTTTTCATATATAATTATGTTTTCAGTGCCAGAATAGAAGGATTTTCCTTTTAAATGAGTAGAAAACACACACACACAAACTTAGAACATTCTATTTCTTTATGTAGTGACTGGATATTTTGCATTTCAGAAAATGATGAAGGAATGTATGGTGAGACTTATATATTGTGAAATGCTTGGATATGATGCTTCTTTTGGCTATATACATGCAATCAAGTTGGCTCAACAAGGAAACCTCTTAGAAAAAAGAGTAGGTATGTATGTGTTTAAGACTTTCCTACTTTAATGATGCCCTTAAAGTTTCATCTACTATATAAAATGAATGATGGCAGGTATGTAGTATGTTTTTAGAATATGCATTATAATTTCCAAAGCCTGAAAAGATAATATTTCAGAAATTCAAAGCCTATTAATGAAAATTGGTTTTCCTAATTCATAGAATTATGAATAGTTACAGCATTTTGGTGATTAGATAACTAACTCTATATATTTGTCAAATCTCATTGAGCTGTAACTTAAAATCGGTGAATTTTCTTAAATGGGCGGATTTTTTTGAGGTAAATTATACCTTAAAAAAGCTTATTTGAAGAACTTTGTCTAATCTTATCAGTTTAATGGTTAGAAATGTTTCTTTATAAAATCAAAAACTTAAATTGACTAGAATAATTTTAAATATCCTGTTCTCACTTTCACAAATGTTAGCTATGAGGATTAGAGGTATCTTTTAAAAAGTTTTGTCCCTGTTGTCATCCTGTAGGGCTTTTAGGAAAAATTCTCTCAATGACTTCAGTCTTCCATTTCATAAAGGCTCAGTTTTATATCAGAATCTTCAGAAGGGACATGTTAGCATAGGGATGCGTTGTTCGGACTTGGGAGTCCTTTTTATTTTTGAGACAGGGTCTCACTAAGTTACTGAGACTGGCCTTGAACTTGGGATCCTCTTTCTTCAACCTCCTGAGTCCCTGGGATTATAGGCATGCATCACTGTGTCCGTGCCTTCTTCATAAGTTATATTCACCTGTGCTATCGGATGATGGTGAGGGAGTGATAGATGTCTGGGTTTACAGATTCTAAGATTGTATGCATAAAATGTTCCATTTGTTGAACTCCATTTCACTTCCAATACTTTTTTATCTTATAGATTTGTTGTGTTCTTTTCTTCAACTAGAATGTCCTCTGACATCCTGTTTCTCCCTTTTCATATTCCAAATCAAGTTTTAACAGTTCTAAGATCACCCAGGTGGCTCCTATAGTCTGTTACCTTATGGTGTTGTCTTTTCATATATGAGTGTCTTAGTTTCTGAACTAATTAGAAGCTTTCTAAAGGCAGGACTTTGTTTGTTATTAAAGTAGTCTTTATTAGTAATTTACTTTTCTTAAAATTTTGATTTTTTTAAACATATGAATGTGGAATTTTATTCTACTAGTGTTTTATTTCACATAGACTTGCAGAACCCTTCTTGTCATATTCAGGGTCACCCTACACTTTGAAAATTCACCTCAATAAGAGTTTTATATGTCTCAAGTCTTTTTAAGTGATGTCACTCTTGTATTTGGAGTGTTTTTTTTTTATTTTTTATTTTTTTCCCTAAGAAGAAAAAGATAAAAAAGGAACTTTCAACAATTGTTGAGCATTTGGGGAAAATGAAAACCAACTTCATTTTTTTTTCATTTTAAGGAGAACCATGTTAGATGTGAAAACATTTGGAAATGTCCAAAATTCAGCTATAAGAAGAGACAGTGATGGCAGATTACAGGCAGAAGTCTGGTATTTCTTTGCCTCCTCTTCTTCTGATTTTTTTTTTGCTTCTCTGCCCTCATAATTTTTTTTTAAACTCTTCAAGTTTAAATTGTAGTTTATTCCCTTTGCATGTTATTTCACAGCACTTTTAAAAAAATATGATATCCTTCTTAGAGGTAGCTATTTTTTTGTTAAGGACTCTGGAAAACAGATCAAAAGAAATTAAACCTCAATTGTGAACTTTTGGCTTGAATGGCAAAGATGTTATGAGTAGAAAGTCTTCTTAGAGGTTGTCTACTTATAAAATTTATTCAGTATTCATAGAATAGATATGATAGATGTCCACTGTATGTTAGGTGCTGCAGTCAGACATATGTATTTTTTTCCATTTTGAGAATCTTTTGCAGTGGTAGAGTGGAGGATAGAGACAAACATAGAAATTAGTAGTTACATTATGATGTCATAATTGCCTTCATGAAGGGATGCCACACGTTGTACTCATGTAGTCAGGCATAAGAACAATTATGAAAACCTCAATTTCCTTGGTTTCTGAGGCTTAGAGGAGAATGTGCTTATTAGATTTCATATGAGCATTCTGTAACGAAATCACTTAGAACCTGTTTAAATATTACATGGCTAGAGTTTAGTTAGAATTAGATTTGGTCCTGCCAATTTCCTTTGGCTTCCTTTGGCATGAAGATGGGCTTTATACTTGCTCTTCTTTGTTATTTGGCTGATTTCCATATTAGCACAGGCAGGAAATTTTGAAAAAAATCAATAAATGTTGGATAGTTGATATAATTATTTTGTGCAGCTATTGCTACATTCTGCGTTTTAGATTTATATGTAATTTTTTTCATTTTCAAATTTTATTTAAAATTTTTTCTTTTTTGTTGCTGGGTCTTGTGCATTCTCTATCACTGAGCTGTACCCCTAGCCTCTAATTTTTTTCTGTTCATTGATTTTAAATTGGTGAATTATAATTGTACATAAACGTGGGATTCACTTTCTATGTTAATGCATGCACGTAGCACAGTTTGGTTGATTTCATCCCTAATACTTTCCCTTTTCTTCCCCTTCTTCCTCCCTCTCTATTCTCTTCCTCTACTTTCATGTCTGTTCTTAAACTGTATAGAGCATTACACAGCATTGCATAGTTAAGACTTTATAAAAATGTATAATCAAATAATACTCACTTTCATCTCTAGCCCCACTACCCAGTTTGTACCGTACTCTCATTTTTGTTGGTGAATTATAGTTGTACATAATAATGGAATTTGTTGTTACATATTCATACTTGCACACAATATAACAATGTAATTTGGCCAATATCCATCCCCAGCACTTCCCCCTTTCTCCCTACTTCCAACCCTTGGTCCCTTTCCTCTACTGATTTCTTCCTTTGGTTTTCATGAAATATGCACCCACCTTTATTTTCCTTTTCCCTCTCTAGCTTCTGCATGGGAGAGAAAACGTATGACCCTTGACCTTCTGAATTTGATTTATTTTGCTTAATGTGATGGTTTCTGGTTCCACTCATTTTCCTATATAAATGGCATAATTTCATTTTTCTTTTTTTATTTTATTTTTATTTTATCATTTTTTATTTCTTACATACATGACAATAGTGGAATGCATTACAATCATAATTATATATTCACAACACCATTTTTCGTTAACTCTGTATATAAAGTATGTTCACTCCAAATTATGCCAATTTACATGAGCTATCTTCTTCTTTTCTTCTTCTTCTTCTTATTTTTGCATTACAATTCTTAATACACCTTTATACCAGAATTTATCATATCTCTGATTGTATATAAGGTATGTTCACACCAAATTCACATCTTCATACATGTATTTGTATAATGATGAGGGTTTCCTTCCACCATCCATGCTATTCCCCTTCTCCCTTCCTTTCCCTCCCACCCATATTCCCTATCTAGAGGTAATCTTCCTCCCTTGCCCTCCCTCCCAACCCCATTTTGAGTCACCCCCCCTTATATCAGAGAAGACATTCGGCATTTGTTTTTTTGGGATTGACTAACTTTACTTAGCGTAATCTTCTCTAATGCCATCCATTTCCCTGAAAATGCCATGATCTTATTCTTTTTTATTGCTGAGTAATATTCCATTGTGTATAAATGCCACATTTTTTTTTATCCATTCATCCACTGAAGGACATCTAGGTTGGCTCCATAGATTAGCTATTGTGAATCAATGCTATAAACATTGATGTGGCTGTGTCCCTGTAGTATGCGTTTTTATGTCCTTTGGGTATAGTCCGAGAAGAGGAATAGCTGAGTCAAATGGTAGTTCCATTCCCAGCTTTTCAAGGAATCTCCATACTGCTTTCCAAATTGGCTGCACCAATTAGCAGTCCCACCAGCAGTGTATGAGTGTACCTTTTTCCCCCCGCATCCTCACCACTATTTTCATTAATATCTGATTAATCTTTCTATTGTTTCTTTTTTTTTAATATTTTTTTTTTTAGGTGTAGATGCGCACAACACAATGCATTTTTTTTTATGTGGTGCTGAGGATTGAACCCAGGTCCCATCCATGTGAGGAGAGCGCTCTATCACTGAGCCACAATCCCAGCCCCTCCATTGTTGCTTTTAGGAAAAAAAAACCAAAACAGACTCTCAACTGTTACAAAAGGCAGCATGTTACATACACTGTCTCTTATACAAAAGAGCATATTATATGGGTTATTCTATACTATAATTTTTAAAAATTTTGATGGTTTATCATCTGTTTAAATGTTTTTTTAATTGATGCATTTATACTTTATTTTGATGTTGTCATACTTTTATATAGTTGCATAATTTTCATTGGGTGGACATTACATATTTTTTTCAATTTGGTCCCTCTTGGACACATGGATTGTTTTTGACTTTTACTTATAAATGATGTCGCAGTAGATAATATTATACATATATTATTTCATAATTATGAAAGCTTATCT